GGTAAACCTGTTTGTGTGTGTGTGTGTGTGTGTGTGTGTGTGTACACCTGAGTGGAGCAGTTCCTCCGACGTCCCGCCCTCGCTGCATCCGAAGAGGTGATTGGATGAGACGTCATCCAATCCCCGCCCTTTCCGGCACATCTCCCGGGGGAGGAGTACAAAGGCTGGGAACGGAGATCATTCTGGAGGCTCTGTGTNTGAAACGAGGCAGCAGAAAAACAGAGGTCTGTGATGTATTTTGTGAAACAGAAGAACAGCTAAATAAATGCAACGGCCTCCCAAGAAGAGCTCGCCTCTCTCCAGTCATTTAAGCTAAAGTGGGTTATTGAACCTGAAGCTTGTTGCTTCTGCCCTCCTCGACTACGGTCTGGGAGCCGACAGGAAAGTTCAACACACAGATGGCCAGTCCGCCCCTTTGTAGCATATTATTTCGATGAGCAGATCGCCACTGGGCTTTCAACTAAAGACACAGCCACGCAAAAATGCTGGCACGCGTGCCAGGGGTTGCCGACCCCTGCCCTAACCCGTTATGCTGTTCGTGTATGATCCCTCTTTCATTTAAAAAACAAGTTATGTTCTAAGCATGAAAGCTGTAGGCCTATAGCTGTCAACTGTTCAAACTGTGATCACCATTTCAATACATTTGACAAATTCGACTTGGTTTCTATACTTATTTGAACATGTATTTATTTAGTAAAAAAAATTTCAAAATAATCTTTTTTTTTTTATATAGGATATGTATATTTCTGTTAATCGGTTAACCGTTTTTTTGGGGGACGAATATTCGAATATACATTTGCTTTCAAATTCCCATCCCTAATAAATACGTGGTAAAACACAACCGTCTGAAACATTAGCCCTTTATCAACTTCAAAATCCACAAAGAGAACATTTTATGTTCAAATTGTTCTTACACTTTCAATCAATCAATCAATCAATCAATCAATCAATCAATGTTTATTTATATAGCCCAATATAAAAAATGTTACATTTGTCTCAGTGGACTTCACAGTTTGTACAGAATATCAGTATGACAATACGACACCCTCTGTCCTTAGACCCTCACATCGTACAAGGAAAAACTTCCAGAGAAAACCCACAGTTTAAAGGGGAAAATGGGAGAAACCTCAGGGAGAGCAACAGATCCTTCAGACTTTAAATCCTGGAGAGTGGAGACCCTACTTTTCTACACATAAAATCCACGAATGGAGAAATGGTTTATACTTTGCAAAATGCCCAAACTCAGCTGCGTACAGTGGGTTGAGCTTTATTCAAAACGTAATCAGTGCTGTCCGAGGTAGTGTAGTCAGTCACACAAGTTAACCAATGATATTGCGCCCTCTTGAGGACAATTAGGGTCATTTTGAAAATACCAGAACATATTGTACTGAGATTACTGTAATCACACCGACATAGCATTCCTAAAAATACCACAGAGGCAAATATGTATATAATAAAAAAAGATAAGACTGCAACCTGGGCCCAGCAGTGTATATAGTTAAAAAAGGCCGATAGTAATGTGCATAGTAAAACATAATTTATAATATGAAAGATCAGCAGAGACCGACCTATGTGTGTTTGAGTATATGGGGAACATCATGTGCTGGTGATGGGAGTCGTGAGTGTGTCACCTGGACGAAGAAGGCTCCCTGCAGCGCCTGAGACAGATCGTCGTGGCTGCTGATCAGAGCGAGCTGCTGATTGGCTCTCAGCTCTCCTCTCAGCATGTGAGCCTCCTCCAGCTCCTCCAGCTGCTTCCTGAACCAAACACAGGAAACAGAACAGTTAACGCACATGCACACACTTTCTCCAAAGAAGCAGCTTAAACATATGACATGGAATATTATTCAGATCTGATGAGTCAGCGTCATATCTTTTACTATTCAAAGCAAATGTGGAGTAAACTGAATTTGTCAAAACAGGGCGCATGCTTAGGGACATTTTGTTTTAGCTTATTCAGCAAGAAATCACACACAATATCACCCTCTACCGTTCATACAGGCAGCTGAATCCCAGATAGAGGCTGATACATTTAATGATAAATACAAATATAAAATATATAGTTAGATCCTGGTTTAGAGTGTGGGTTTGTTTTACAGTTTTGAGGGCTTTAGATTTTCTTTACTTGATATTAGGTCCTTTTCTTGCCCAAAATCCCTCTGTCATTCCACAGTAATGTTTAACTAGCAGTGACTAAGCTATTAGAGAGTTATAGGTTGGAACGGGTGTTTGTCCATGAGTCTGTATAGTGAGGGGAAGTCTGGACGTCTTGTTAATGATCCCTTGAATGTTTCGCAGCTACATGCACCTAATGGCAAAACAACCATAAAAACCACCTGACCTGATCTCTTGGATGGCCTTGGCAGCCTGTCCTGGTTGGTTGTCATAGATCTTCACACTGTAGCCTCCACTGACAAACACCATAGCCCAGGAGCGGCCAATCAGCCCGCTGAAACAAAACACAAATACAGCTTTAGGATGTTCACTCTTGGCTGTATTCTCTGTAATAACAACAAAATCCCATTCCACAATTTAATATGTTTCTATAATATGTCTGCTGCACCATCACTACCTCAATGTACAATTTTAAATAAAGTAAATTGAACACTCAAAGTTTAACAACAGAGAAGTGAATATTTGGCTGTGACATTTAGTATTTACTTTCCAGGGTTAAGAGAGGTCACTCCAGAGGACCGCCAAGTTTAGCTGAGTGTGTAGGAATAATGAACGGGGTGCAGAAATACAGGTTGAAATGTAAGCCAGGGATACTATTATTTTACCCTAATTTTTTGTTTGGTCTCTAATCTTTGTAGCTCGTGGTTAAAAGCAGGTTTCAATTTTGTTGTGTTTCGATAATCTTTTTTAATTAACAGTCAACACAAATATGGCAAGATAGTGTACATACAACTTCACTCTGTGGGATTACAGCAGATTCTCTAATCAAATGTGGTTTTTTTGGGTACTTTACATGGGTTGAGAGCTTCCAGTTTATAATCCAACTCCATTACTTTAGGTTTAGGGAAACAGATATTCATATTTAACAGCATAAGCAATTTTGGTGGAGATTTCAATGCAAAAACATACATTTTAACATGATGTTTTATTAGGGTCAAGCTACCAAGCAGCCCACCTTCACCAGTAGCGACATTAAAGTAATGAACATATCAATGCCACACTTATTATAATAGAGTGATATCTTATTATTAAATTTTGTATTCTGCATTTTGCAAAAATGTAACTAATATGAGTAGGTTACATAATGAAAAGTAATTGAAAAGTACAAGACGTCAGGAACATTTCTGGAAATGTTAGCTACAACCAGTGCAATGCAATCAGTAGGCCTAATATAAAAATGATATGCAGCATATTACAACAAAATGCAAATGCGGCAATACCTTATTAGCATAATGATTTTTCATACCAGCTCAATGAGACTTTTCCTCAACTAGCTTAGCTCATTACCTGGAAGCAACATTTTAAGTCCCTAAAAGAAAGTATGGTTTTGCTCACCTGCCGATCACAGTAATGGTATTCATGTCACAAGAACTCATTTTAATGTATTTTGAAGAGATCAGCCCAGAATAACATTACAAACCAGAACAAATTTATTTCTATCGAAGCTGCTGTACCATCTGTACCGCCCCTCTAAAGTCACGTTGCTAGATACCGGTACGGTAACCGAGAGGGGTCAAATGAACCCAAAGGGGGACAACATATCAATACATACATACATCGAACATTGAATACCTGCACTGGTATATTATATGTTATAAAAACATAACGCTAGCTTTTAATTTGAGACAAACCTAAAACGGAGCTAGAAACGCCTAAAACCCAACGGGTAGCTTGCACTTGTATCATAGCAACGGATGAAATCAACTTTGGCCAATCATGTAAAAGAAGATTGGTGATTGACATGTAAGTGACCAATCAGAGGTTAGAAACTCTGAACTGCCCCTCCCACGCCGCGTTGAATTCTGGGATTTTATCCTGAAACGACAACAAACTAATCTTCGCTGTTACATCCGATAGATACCTGTTTTTTTGTCATTCTAATGAGCGTTTTGTTGCACAACCTCAGCAGGGAGAGAGAAATGGAAAATGTGCATCTGGCTGTGGAGGAGGAGGATATTTATTCGGGTTACAACGACTATAATCCAACATTTGACTCCGAAGTAAGTTAGCATCAATGCTATTTTAGTTCGCTCTGAAGTTGGCATGTAGTTAGCTCAAATCCGTTCGCATTCAAGTGTAATTACAGCGAACAATGATACAAATTAATGATACATTTATTTCTAATTACTAAATTGCTTGCACAACATCTAATATTCATTATTTGTGTATTTAACAGGGACAGTGCACATTAATTAAAAAGTCCAGTTCCAACTCATTGAAAATGTTATCAATACAATGTTTCATCAAGCACTGCAATACAATACAATACAATACAATATAAATTGCATTTGAAAATGTGTATGTGAAGTTTTAAGACTAATTATTCACCAATTTTCAAGGAGTTGGAGAATGATGTGGGATTTCAACAAGCAGTAAGGACAAGTCATGGAAGGAGACCTCCTGTAAGTACCGACTGTAATGTTATTGTGTTTTAGTGATGCATTTATTCAACTACTGCCCTTATGTGCAATTTTGAGGTTGCTACTTACTTACGTACATTGTTAACATCAGTATTTCGAGTTTATACTACTTTATAATTCTACAACTTTTATGTGATGGCTTTAGTGAAATTTGAAGTAACATTATAAATGCGCTAAATATCTATTAATTATTCAGATGACTGCTAAATTTCCTGGCACTGCCATTGGAGCTCGACCGTTAGCTACTGCATTTGGAGTAAGTACAATGACATGAAATAATATAAGAAGATATTTGGAAAAGCCTGTTTAAAATGAAATGTTTTAATATTTATTGTTTTGTTCAGGCTCGGATCCCTTTGGCCTCTTCAATGGGCCGACCTATGACTGGAGCTGTGCAGGTGAGAGGAATTTAAAGATTATGCATTGTATATTACATGACAGTAATTCATCTTATTTACATAGTACTCATGCGTCATGATTTTTAATGCAATGTTAAGGGTTTTGTAGTGAAGTCATGTGTATTTTGACATCCTTTTAAATATCATGATTTTACTCAAGGCTCTATAGCACCTTAGTGTAGTGCTCAACATTAACTACAGCTCTGTTTTTGAATGTGACAGGATGGAGCAGCCCGACCAATGACTGCAGTCAGAGCAGCCGGTTACACCTCCTCCCTGACCCGTGGTGAGTTCAAGGCAGTCACATACAGAACTTTCTTGTCACTGTTAAAACTTTAAAAAGGTGTATTGAGATAGAAGGCTCCCTTATTTGAGGGCCCTAGCCCAATTTTGGCAAAAGAAAAAAGTTATTATGCAATTTATATAAATAAACCTGTGTTTCCCTATTTGATTGTTATTATGTAAACCTTATGGTATAATAATTAGTTTGAATTTGTATTTTCAGGCTCAGCCTTTGACCCTCTGGGCCAGTCCAAAGGCCCTGCTCCTCCACTTGAAGGAAAGAATGAGGACACGTGAGTTGTCTCTCTTTTAACTGTTTCAGTGTTTTTTTTAGCGTTTTCCCCCTAAGCATTCTGTGAGCAAAAAGTCACATGTCTTAAGCAACACTATCAAACATTGCTAATGCTTTGTCTGGGCTCTTGCAGGCCTGAGGAGAAGATCAAGATCCTGGAGAAGAAAGTGAACGACCTGATAGAAGAGAGCTGTATGGCACAGAGCATTGGAGCCTTACAACTGGTCAGACTCTGTCATCCTTTAACATACTGTGTAGTAAGAATGGCTGTTTTTATCTGGAGGGAAGGGTCTTCAAGTGAGGAAGTAAAACATTATCTGCCAGGAGTTGTTCAACCTAAAATGTTGGCAGGTGCATGTCTCCTTACTGTATGTCATGTTACTGATGTGTTTCTGCAGGCACTTGAAAAAGCCAAAGAGGCGGGGAGGAAGGAGAGAGCTCTGGTGAGACAGAGGGAACAATCTGGCAATGCTGAACACATCAATCTGGACCTCACCTACTCTGTAAGTACATCTGCTGTATTACAAAGATGTTCAAATGCTGTATAATAAAACAGTACTTGCTTCTTACACGATAAGCCCCTTTTGGAAAAGAACACTCCTTAAGCGTGTTTCTTTCTTATTAGTTACTTAATAAAAAAAAGCCCCTAGTTTTACATTCTAAGTAACTATCTGTGATACAATAAATGGTCCGTTTGAGGAGATCATTGGTGATGAAGTTGTGTAATCTTAATTCTTACTTCACCTCACAAATCAGCTACTGTATGGAGGCACAGCTCACAGAAAATGAGCCTCTATATTCTTGAATCTGTTCCTGTCTGTTTTTATTATTTAATTTAGAAATGTTTAATGTTTCTGCTATCTTCAGGTTTTGCTGAACCTTGCCAACCAGTACGCGAACAATGAAATGTATCCAGAGGCTCTGAACAGCTACCAGGTCATCGTGAAGAACAAGATGTTTAGTAACGCAGGTGAGCAGAATGTGACATTATGCGATGGATCAGTTGTACCTTTGTTGTGATTTTCCCCCACAAACTTTATCTTTGCTGCCCGATCCAGGACGCCTGAAAGTCAATATGGCCAACATCTACGTGAAACAGAAGAGCTACCCCAAAGCCATCAAGTTCTACCGGATGGCTCTGGATCAGATCTCCAACGCTCACAAAGAACTGAGAATCAAGATCATGCAGGATATCGGCGTGGTTTTTGTCCGCATGGGCCAATATTCAGACGCCATCACTTCTTTTGAGCACATCATGAGCGAGAGCCCCAACATCAAGACGGGCTTTAATCTCATCCTGTGTTACTACGCCATCGGAGACAGGGAGAGGATGAAGAAGGCCTTTCAGAAACTCATCTCTGTTCCTCTGGGCATCGACGATGAAGACAAGTACATCCCATCTAATGTGAGCAGCAGTAATATGTTTATTTATAATTATTTAAAGGCTTATTTGTCTTTTCTCTCCTTGTTTGTGTTCGTACTGCAAGTGTGTGAATGTCTTAAATGGCTATGTCTGTTTGTGTATACTTATACTTTTTTATTTCATGAAGAACCAGTAATATAGGACAGCAGGACAACAACGTAAACATGAGTAAGAATTTTTTTTAATCAGATACCCTTTTCTGAATTACATTTTAGAAAATGTATTTTCTTTTGCAAACGAAAGTTACATTTTCCTATTACAATATTTACCCAATAATTTGGGGCAATACCAGCATTTCTTTTGGCTGCAAGAACACTACATTACAGAACCCTTTTGATCTTATAAAAATGAATTTACTTTGAACAAAAAAGCCTCAAATATGTGTGTTACTTGGCTGAAAATGCAGTTAATGATTGACCAAATAACATTTTACACCTATGACGACTGCATGGACATTCCCTGTCTTTGTATCTTCATTTTAACCCTGTCCTGTCTTTTCTCGCAGGATGACAACGACTCAAATATGGTCATCGAAGCCATAAAGAATGACAAGCTTCACCAGATGGAGAGAAATCTGTAAGAAAACTTTACACAATACAAACAAACAAACATGATCATCCGTGTACATCCGGCAGTGGCTCAGTCAGTAGGGGCTTGGACTGGGAGCTGTAGGGTCGCCGGTTCAAGTCCCCGACCAGACCTAAATATGGAGAGTGGACTGCTACTTGGAAAGGTCCCAGTTCACCTGCTGCCCTGCCGTGGTGCCCTTGAGCAAGGCACCAGACACCCCCCTTCCCCCCTCACTCCCATTGCTCCCCGGGCGCTGTCCACTAGCTGCCCACTGCTCCTAGTACTAGACTCCTGGTACTAGGATGGGTGAAAAGCAGAGAACACATTTCACTGTGTGTGCTCTGCATGTGTGACCATTAAAGAGGGTTTCATCCCTCCCATTCTATCTATTCTACACCCCTCATGTGTTATCTTATTCAACAGACCCCCAGCCCACTGCATACCCTTGTTTTCATATTTGTGTTATTGTTCTGTTTGATGTCCTAAATATGTGTCCTGTTTTCTCCCTGTACGCTGTATATAGCAAAGTCCTGGCTGAGAAGTACATCATGACCGCAGCTAAGCTCATCGCTCCTGCCATTGAAACATCTTTTGCTACCGGATTTGACTGGTTTGTTATTATTATGTTTGTTTTATTTGTCAATTTTAAATCTTAACACCAGAGGGCATACAATACACATCATAAATTAGATCAACTTACACATGCAAACAAAATAAAAATGCAGCTTGCATGTGCCTGGTTAATTGGTCAAATGAACAGTACACAAAATAAATATTTATACATGCATAATTAACACTTATTTTTGTTGTGTTTGTTGTTAGGTGTGTGGACATAGTGAAGAGTTCTCAGTATATCGAGCTCGCCAACGATCTAGAGATAAACAAAGCGATCACGTACCTCAGACAGAAGGACTTCAACCAGGTGACTGTTTGACTCAATAATAAGATAAAGAGCAATACCACTCAATTTACTCAACCTCACTCACCACTATTGAGCAAATATTTGTGACTATAATTGTTTGCAAATGCTTAAAGGTGGGGTAGGTAATTCACTCCAGAAACACTTTTAGTTATATTCCATGGAATGCTCTTAATCCCGATAGCAATGAATATATTAAATGCTTTGACAAAAAATACATAAAGATATATCATCTGTGGAAGCCGTGGCGCTGTAAAAAGCAAGACCAATCATCTGAGCCGGCCCGGCTAAAATAACTGGATGGCCTACCTGCCTGTCAGCCTTCCATCTGTGCACAAACTTATCTCGTGCCCTCATTGGTCATGTGTGCGTTCCTGTGTGTTGGAGGAGGGGCTCTGTGAGGAAGTCTGAAGGAAGGGGCAGATTGTTTCCGGTTGTGTACTTTCAGATTCTAGCGCACTCGATGTGGTTTCTCCGTTCCTACCTACCTTCAAGTAATCTCATATTACTCTACACAAATATATATGTGTTATTTCTATCAGCACACAACGCACACGCAGACGTTCGGAGAGAAGTTAGAGTTTAAGAGAAGGTTTTATTGTTATTCATTTTAAATTATTATGGATTTGTATATTTTCCAATTGTATTATTATTTATAATTTTACATTTTTATTTGTGTTTTTTTAATGTTTCCTCTGCTCTGAGTTCTCTCCTGCAGCTGCTGGATGTTTTAGATCATATCTCTCTGTGCTCACTACGAGTCGTAATATCGCTTTCTGTCCGGAGGGAATCTGTGACAAATAAACTGATTAACATTTTTATTACCATCTGCAGCTAACTGTGTGTGTGTGTGTGTGTGTGTGTGTGTGTGTGTGTGTGTGTGTGTGTGTGTGTGTGTGTGTGTGTGTGTGTGTGTGTGTGTGTGTGTGTGTGTGTGTGTGTGTGTGTGTGTGTGTGTGTGTGTGTGTGTGTGTGTGTGTGTGTGTGTGTGTGTGTGTGTGTGTGTGTGTGTGTGTGTGTGTGTGTGTGTGTGTGTGTGTGTGTGTGTGTGTGTGTGTGTGTGTGTGTGTGTGTGTGTGTGTGTCGGTGTGTCGGTGTGTGTGTGTGTGTGTGTGTGTGTGTGCGAGTGTGTGTGTGTGTGTTTGTGAGTGTGTGTGTCGGTGTGTCGGTGTGTGTGAGAGAGTGTGGTGTGTGTGTGAGTGTGTGTAGTTGTGTTTACATTGTGTTATAATGCGTTTGACTGTGATTGGTGTTTGGAGAGCAGTGTTGTTGAGAGACTGGTCACAGTGGCTCTGAGAGG